TCCTTTGTTATAATGCAGCAAAACTTACTCTTTTCAAACAGAAGAAGAAAATATTTGGAATACTATGCTTAAAAGGACAAAATAAGACAAGTGTATACATAGTAAAAACAGTGCTCTTGTATCTGCACAAATAAATAATATTCTCCTTTCTTTGAAGAAAAAGCTCAACAGTCCTTTGTCCCACATCACAATAGAACAACCCTTTGCACTGGAATATTTGAATCACTTCTTGGCAGTTTCTCAAGGTAAACAGAGTGAATTAAAAATGAATGTTTATCATACAATACTCACACACACACACACTCACAAGCAAAATGGATTGCAGTATTTGCCTATCAAACATTAGAAGCGATTGAATCCATCAGTCATTCAAACAAGCAACTGAAAAGTGGAAATAATGGGATGACAACATCAGAAAACAGCCTCCCAGAAAGAGATGAGTTTTCTTGTAACCATTTGTCTTGTCTAATTAATCCCACATGTGGGACTAGACTGGAACATTAGAAAAAATTAAGTACAAAATATTACTTTCACTTGGAAGCATTAGAGGTATAAAAGGGCCAGAAATGCTATGTGGGCTTTTTTTTTAAACCCAGCTTTCACATATAATCATCCTCTTAAATTAAGACTACATCCCTCTGTTTAGATGAGGGAAAGATAATGTTGGTTGGTTGGAAAGAAAGCAATTGGAATAACTGGTGAAGATTACATCATTACTTCTAATAAGAGAATATGTCAGTTTTTACCAGACTAACTATCTGGATAATAGATCATGGGCTACTTCTGGAAGACCACATAGTGGTTACGATCAAGAGCACTTTCTTCCACCTGAGCCTGCTGAAAAGAAGATAACCCAACTCCCTTTCAGGCAAACTATGTCATAGGCTATACATATTTCTGTCAATTAAAAATTAGGCTGTTGAACATTTTCTGCATAAGGCAAAACAAAACGCAGAAACTAATACAAGATGTGTCACCTGCTAATTCAGTGGAACTCCATGCAATGAGTGTACAGCCAGGGATCTACAATAGCTTCATACCAGTTTCTAGGTAGAAATCAAGGGCTGGTTGTGACCTGTAAAACCATTAGACTGTTTTTTTTCAAAGGTGGAGAGAGGTAGTTAGCTGTGTTAGTCTAAAGCCAAGCAGAAGGCAAGGTAAATTTGCATTTTATAGATTCACTAAATCAGAGATGCATACGGTTTTGTGAGCAGCAGCTCAGTCCTTTCACAGCATCTGATTAAGTAAGCTGCTGTTTATGAAAGCACATGCATCTCTGATTTAGTAAGTCTATAAGGGCCCCTCTAGACATTCAGGTAAAGGCATGATAAGATCTGATGCACGATCTGATGGCAAGAAGCACTACTGTGGGATTCAGCATCAGAACCAATCATGCCTTATTGCCGGGGCATGGGAATCCCAGGCTCCCCCTGCACTGGCAAGTGCGCTACCCCCCCTACGGGCCTCATCAGCTGGGAACGTTAGCTGGGGAAGGGGGCAGTGCAAGGAACGCCAGGTCAGCAGGTGGTGCATCCCTGTGGCTGGGAGCCCCCAGCGGCTGAGGGGGACCCCCAGCCACAAGGGAGCACCTGGCCACACATTTAATTAATGGCATGATAAGAACGAGCCACAAAGTCATATATTTTTGGTGGAATAACTTTGTGGCCTATTCCTTGTTTTCTCATGCCATTAACTGATTGAACATTTAACTGCATTACAATTTAAGATGTGATTAACTGGTCAATAATGCCTTTAAGTATGATGCATAGGTGCAGCCTCAGGTGCAAACCTACCCTGTCTTTTTCAAAGGTGGCCACTGATTCTGGATACACAAACTGACACACGTCTGAGCACTTGGACATTTTTACAACCAGTTGATTCAAATGTTGGTCAAGTGACCACATCATTCCAGTGATCGCACAGTTGAGACAGAAGAGTTAGATGGAGCTGCAACCTCCCTGAGTGAGAGAAGCTGCTGCTAACAGGGCATACCCCATTAGGGATCCTCAACCCACCCCATTATAAGAAAAGGCCTAATATAGGTCAACATTTCTGTATACAGTGATGCTCATCTATTTTGCCAGGCATCTAGTGAGAGGATGGACTGAAGGAAGGTGAGTGGCATGGATGTATCTAGTGAGAAGGTATCTGATTTCATTATATTTGTTGGTGGGTTGAGATGCCCTTTTTGATATTATTCTTAAAATGCATCGTGTACAGCCAGCTGGGGCCCAGGATGGGCACCCCTATAATCTATACAACAAACTAAATAAACACCCTCCCTTTTCACATATAAAATCTGCATGAGGGGAAAATAATCTGGCACCTCTTGACTTTGTGTCTACAGAGCTCCTGCTGCATCACCTCCCACATAAAGCCTAAGCTAACAATAAGGGTGACTCCCAAAGGGGAATCCCTGGAACAGAGCATCTGTAGACTAATAACCTTACGCACAAATCTGGACTGCAGAGAGATCTTCAGAAGGTCAAGGAAAAATAAACTAAGAATTCAAATTCTGTATTGGGCCTCAATCCAGTGCTTCAGCTATAGCCACAGCTCATTTAAAGCTGCCTTCCACCCCTCCATTCCCTCATTCCCTCCAGAGAAGAAAAGAATTAAAACAGGCATCAGTAAACTTGTTTTGGATGCTCACTAGCAGATCTGTTGGCTCCCATTTGTGGAACTGTGTGAACTTTCCAAAGAATTACTGGAGGCAACTGTATTTGTGCATGAGGGAGAGAAGACGTGTGTGGGGGAATGCAGGGGAGGGGGCGGGGGGAGGCTTTTTAAATAATTTGCCATCAGACCCTTACAAGGGACACTTTCAGAATCGTGCTGAAGAAAGTTGTCAGTCTGTTCTGGATTCCACAAAATGCTGCTTCTCCTCTCTCTCAAAACTCCACTCTCTTCTTCTTTGCAGAAGTGGGGAAAAAGTTACTTCAATACCTGTGCTGTGGCCAGAAAGGGCCTGAATCATTTTATCCTCCTGCACACCTCAATCCTTGCAGTAGTCTCCCTTAATTTGTAGGAGGAGACCATGCCAATAGCAAGAGGGAGCCTCTGATAAATGTCGAGCATTGATGAAGGTATTTCTTTGCAAGAATGCCTCATTGTGGCACTCTGCTGAGCATGTACACTCCAAGCAGAAGGCTTTTATTCCATTTTCCCTTTAGAAGAACTGTTTCACAAGACATCTCCCATATTTCCTCTGTTATTTAAGGAACAAAGATTATTTCCTGCTGCAGTATACTGCAAACAGATACATTTTACTTTTGTTCCCTTCTGAAAAGGGCATATATTTTCCATCTCCTTTGAGGAAAATCCTTGCATTCAGTTATCGACATAAAACTTAGGCCCTCACATGAAAGGATGTGGGCTAATACCATTTCATTCCTTTTTCTATTATAATGCTTTTTCAAAGACTTGAAAAAATATTTTTGTTTTTAGGGTTCTCCATTTGAATTTTCAAAAGGTTTGTATGTGTATCCATCAGTCAAAAAACTGAAGCCCTTAATTGCCCCAAGTTGAGTGGTAGAAAGGAGGAAGAGGTTCACTTGAATTTCTTGTTAATAAACCAAATTTTGTCAGAAAAGCTGGCAACAAGAATGACCATCCTTCATCAGAAATCCCTAAAGGAAAACAGCTTACAGAATTGGCAGAAGGGCTTGAGAAATGTATAAGTACATATCAAGATTTAGAAAAAACAATAGCTGAGAGATCTGCTCTCCCACCACCACTAATAAATAAGGTATTAAATCATTAGAATTTCAATTACAAGGAAAGAATGTAGCTAACCAAATAAGAGCAGGGGGAGTTGAAATAAGTAGTAGGTTAAAGATTAATATTCGGGATTCAGAACAAAAGGATGCTCTTTTGTGTCACTGTGCTTATGCCTCTGAATGTAAACATTGTTCCGAGAACCATTTTTTCTTTGCCCGATCTTTAAAGGGTAATAAATTAGACCTTGGACAGCCATACAAGCTGCTACTAGATGTGAATGTGAATGTGTCTGTAGAAAAGGCTGACTTTCAATCAAAGTCTATTGAAAGAATAGTTGGATTTTCTAAAGAAGCATGTTGTGCCTATTAACCAACTTACAAAAGGGGCCATTTTCTTGATTTATGTTTGGTTGCTATAGAGATCCTGCAGTATAGACTGGCAGGTGAAGCTTCCATTTAACAATCTTAGAGGTTTTTCTTAGCTGTACTCAGAGGACATGCAACTACAGTAGGTAAAATTCACCGCACAAACATACCACGTCTGTCAGGCTCAAAGATCAGATTTAGGGCTTTTCAAGAATTTATTGTGAATACAGTAGAAATGATTACACAGTCTTTGTTCATGAACATTTCCCCCTTTAAGAATCTTATCGGGGGGACTATTTCAGCTCTACTGCATTTTGTCACTGATATACTTTCTATTTTGCAGGTAATTATTGGTTAGTAAAATTCCAGCGCGTCATAGCCCCATTTTTTTTCTAGGTGCACAGTATATTCACAAGCCTGTGATGTGAGGTATTTAACAGCAATGCCAGAGTGTTAGTGCTTTTATTTAAGAACATCACTCTGCTGCACTGAGCTCCAGAATACCATAGAGAAGGGGTCTGAAACTGAAACAAAAAATAATTAAATATTCGAGTCAGAAAGAAAACTTTATATATGTCATTGGGTCACCCACAGACCCACACACAAAAGATTATATGGAGAAATGTGTATTAGGTGAGACTATCCCTTTAGTGTATAGTTCTGTGCCAAAGGTAGTTACATGGAAATTGGTGTCCTGAAAGGTCAGGAAAACACAGGCAGTCTGTTAACAGCATATACAGCAGACCCAGAATCAACTCAGGTGGAATGTCAAATTTGCTAAGTACTGTATGCTGTAAGCAAAATATGTATTTTATATAGATATAGCCAGTTGCCCATCAAGAATGACAGGGGGTGGGGAGGGCCTGGGATGGAGTGCCGCCACCTATTGCTCCATGATGCCGCTGTTCTGCCCCTTGCAGGGAGCTGAAACCAGCTCCCCCACCCTCGGTCTGGTCCTCGGCACGGCTTCGGAATCATGGCAGCGCTCCCCGATGCTTGGAGCACTCCGATTGGCTGTTTCCTTACCATTAGGAAGGTACCAGAGTGGGAAGGTTAACTTTCAGTATGTTTTTAAAAGGAGACAAATTCTGTTCCGTCACACACACAGGACCTCATTAATTTTAAGTTTTATCTTATGTTTAATCACAAAAGAACCTGCATTTCAGTTGTGGATGAATTGATTTTATTTTTAAGGTGTCATGAATGTTTGGGAAAACTTTAGATCAATCTGGAAGAAAAGAGCTCTACACCTTCATTGCCAGTGAATACTTGTTAAAAGTGTAATTAAATAAACAATAAGGATAAAATAAAATGACAATAAATTAATCTTACTTTTAATTTATGCTGAGATTTTCATATCTGAGTGGGCAAGTATTATCCCCATTGTATAAAAGGGGAGGTAAAGCAGAAAGAATCACATGGTATACCTTCAAATCACATGGTACACACTACCAAATTAGGCCAGCCAAAGAGCACCCAGTGAACATTAGTAATCCATACCACAGTTAGCTTAGGCTGGGTGTCAGTAGTCACACTGCAAGACCACTGGCGACGCATAGGGGGTGCATGCAGGCGCACGTGCACTCCTAGTATGGCGGTGCACCTCCTACGAAAAGGCACCGCTGCAAAAGTCAGCAGTGCCTGCAGGTGGTCACCACTCGCCACCCCCATCCCCATCACCACCGACACCACTAGCCGCATCTACGGGCAGTAAGCAATTGCTGCTGGCCACTGCTGATGCTGCCAGCGGCGTCTGCAGGTGGTCACTGACCCCTGGCTGGTGCTCGCCACCCCTCCTCCCCTACTGCCAACAGTGTTGGTGGCATCTGCGGGAGCTCCCCACTTGCCACCGCCACACTTACGCCACCAGTGCCATCATGCCCCACCAACCATCAGGGGCACATGTCATTCACGTGCAAGACCATATCCGAGTTATTCTGTCCCCACCAGTTCTGGTCTCACCTCTGTGTTGCCAGGACTTCTAAAAATCCACTGGTAAACCAGGTGGCTCTATGATTCTTCCCCAGAGAACTGTGGGAGAAACTCTGTCTTCTTGGGCACACGGCGAAGTGGGGGTGCAGAACTGTAAGAAGGCACTGGGGCTAGGGACAGAAGTTACACATAAACTGGTTTAAGTAATCAGCAACTGGTTTAAACCTGTAACACAACAGAAGTTCAGTGCACATAAACCAGTTTCAAAATGGGCAAAACTGATTTGAGATAAACCTGGTTGAATGTAGTATCAGACTTAACTGATTGAGGTCAAACTGGTTTATGTAACTTCTGTTCCAGACCCCTTCCTGTTTTAAGTTAAATCAGAGAACCCTAGCATCCCAGCATGCTCTGCATCCCTTGGCTGGGCTGTGCTGTCTGCTCTGGCAGAGCAGGACTGGCCAAACCCCTCTGCTCCCTAGCCGGACCAGGGGCAGAGACATGGCCAGACACCAGCCCCTCTAAGGCTTAGGGTCAGGGAAGACGTTTATTCCCTACCCTACAGGGGTCTGCCAGGCACGGGTGCAGCAGCCCCATCAGCCATTTTGCCCTGGTCACCACTTGAGCAGCAGGGGGTGTGGCCAGTCCCAGCAGCAGTGTGAAGTGAATGTAGATGGAAGGGAGTTTAATTCCCTGCTCTGTGGCCTGTCCCACTGTAAGGACCCTAGGTGGGGTGTGCCTAGCTGGGGCAGAGCAGCCCATGTCAGGGTCCACCCCCCATCACTGCTGCAACAGCAGGGGTGGGGGCATGGCCAGGCCCTGAGGCAAAGGGGCAGGGAGGGGGCTTATTCCCCCCCTCCCTTTCCTGTCCCCCCGGGACTCCAGCCAGAGTCTGCCTGAATGGGGCAGAGCAGCTCCTGTAAGGCATTTCCCCCACTCCCACTCACCACTGGAGCGGCGGGGGGCATGGCCAGCCCCAACAGCAGCCTCCAGCAAACAGGGGAGGAAGACGGTTCAATTCCCCCCTCCCTGCCCTGTCCCCCTAGCACAGACCTGATCTGGTGTCTGCCTGGCTGGGGTGCAGCAGCCTGTGTCAGGGTCGCTCCCCACTTGCTGCTCCAGTGACAGGGGTGGGGGTGTGGTTAGACACCAGCTGGCATGGCCCCCTGAGACAAAGGGGTCAGGGAAAGGGTTTATTCCCCCCTCTGTACCCTCTCCTCCAAGATCTGCCTGGCCAGGTGCAAGTGGCCAAGTGTGAGGTCTGCTCAGGTGGGATCTGCCTGGCCAGGTGTGAATGGCAGATGTGGTGGCGGGGCTGGCAGACCTCAGCTGCAGTCTCCTGAACCACACCCCCACCCCTGCCACTGTAGTTTCAAGGGTGGGGCGGGGGGACCCTGACATGGAATTAAACCCCCATCCATCTCTGGTTGCTTCACACAGCTGACAGGGCTAGCCACACTCCTCACCACCCGTACAGTGAGGACAGGTGGGAAATGCCTGGCAAGGGCTGCTCCTCCTTTCTCCCCTCCAGGCACACCCCCGACGGAGGTCCCTGCAGGCCAGGGTGGGGGTTTAATCCCCTCCCCAATCATACTCAGTCTGCCCGGGCCTGGTCACACCCCCACAGCACAGCTTCCCTGCAGCAGAGGGCTTGGTCTACCACTCCCCAGCTTCTAGCTTGAGCCACTGCAGGCATGTTGCCTGCATTTCTGGAATCAAAAGTAAATGTTTATTCACTTGGAAATTGGTTCAATCTACACAGGTTAGACTAACTTACAAAGATAGAAACAATTCAGGCTCGGGCTTTTTGAATTAGTACTTAGCCTGGAGGATTATGAACATACTGATGATTTAGCCTGTGTCCTCATTGTAGGGTACCGAACACAAGCTTACGCAGACTCCAGGTTCCATCTTCAGGATACCAGATGGCCTAGGTTAAAAGCATCACTTAACTCAAGGGTGAGGCCTTCGAAGCAGGGGTTAGTAAAAATCTGCAGGGAAAAACATGTTCAGTCAGTTGAACATAATCAAATGAAGTGAGTGGCTGAGGTGGGTGTCTATATTGACAGTTACTGTCAATGGCATAACCAGAGGAATGGAGACCTCATGCCTCTCGATGAACACATTGAGATCACTCTGCTTACCCTTCCAAAATGCAGTCACTACTAGGTTGAAGCTTAGCAACTGATACCTGCATATAAAAATACTATGCAACAGTTAGGAACAAGGAATAAAGAAGAGAATCTTATCCAACAAAGCTATGGGGGGAATTTTCAGTTAAGCAGGAAGCAATTACTCAAGCCATTACTTATCTTGTCAAAATTAAAATAAAAATAAAATTATATTTCACTTCATGGAAAGCAGAAAGACTGGCCTGTCGGAACTTTGGTTACTACTCCAGACTGTCACCAGAGGTCCAAAATTCACTTCTAAGGGCTTCCCTACCACTTACTGGGCTAAGAGAATTTATCAGGATGGAGCATTCTCAGGTGCTCTTGGGGAGGCATAGTTGTGACACATCCCACAAAGTTGGCTTTATTCGAAAGCTCATAGTCAAGGGATGCTCCTCAACCAGCTTTTGTTAGCTGAGGGAGATGGAAGTGATACAGGGCATTGAAAAGGGGAGAAAAGAGGAAGGCTTTTGTTAAAAGATAAAGGGGTTTTGGCTTGGGTTTTGATTAAAGTGAACATTTTATTCTTTTGAGGTCTGACTCTGCATCACTGAATTTAATAGGAGGAGGCTTGCCAAAAGTACAGGATCAAGCCTCCAACAAAGATTCATATTCAGAATCCTGTAATGTTCACTCTTTCTCCCCCCTCCCACTCCACTTGGAGGGAGAGGTGAAAAACTTCCTCAGTTAAAAAGGAAGAGGAGGAGGAGGAGAATTGCACTAATCTTTAAAGGATTTGCTCTAATTTGTGCTGAAAGGACAGCAAATCTCTTATTGTTTGAACATATGGCTTTTCAGGAGAGGGGCCTGAGTTATTTCAGTACTTCTCTTTTGGAACTTTACTGATTATGAGGAACAAACACAGCCTTAACACCAGAGCGGTGATGAAGAGAGATGATTTTCCTGTAATACTGCCAACTGTTTGCATCCCAGTAATTATTCAACAAATGGGTTCCACCTGTTGTACATCAACCAGCACATGCAAATAGGATTGAACAATTTCCTGGATTTATATGTTATTTGGAGTAACAAAACCAGGCTTTGAATTCAAATGGCATCAAGAAAACTACAAATGTTCTCCATCACAGACTTGGAAAAGGAAATATATGACTTTGGCTGTGGCCCTTCTACTCATATTATCTCAAAATACCTGACAGTAATTCATACTAAATGCAATGATTCCTACTAAGAAAGGCAGAAGCAATCAAATCCAGTATGCTCTGCTGTTGGACTTTATCATGGAGCTGTTCTAGGCATATTTCTTTTTACTTTCTGTTATTTATTTTTTACATTTAAATCACTGGGCTCCTTCCTTTATCCTTAAATTAGGATAACAATGAAGGCAAAGCTGACCTCCAAAATAGTACCTGTACACACAGATTGGACAAGAGCCTACTGAATTCTTAATTTTATTGGCAGCTGGTATGTCTACACATTGTTTCTATACCTTGCATGTGTTTTCAATCTTGAACTTGGCTTTTTATTAATTTATAAATAACATTCAAAAACATGAGAAGAGAAATTCTGAAGTCAACAGGAGTTTTGCCATTGACTGTAATGAAGCCAGCATTTCACCCCAGATTTTCAGCACATTTAAAAATCGTGAATGCTTGTGATAATCCCCCCAAAAGTTTCTCTCTCCAACCCCAACATACTAGATATATCGAGATATCCCTGAAAAACTGTTTTTTGGAGGGAGAGTTTTTTTGAGTACTTCCTTCATGGAATTCTACTGATTCAAAGAATGAACACAGCCTTCTAGCATTAAAGCAGTAAGGAACAGAAAGGATTTCCCAGTAAGACACTCAACAGTTTGCATCCCAGTATTTTAAAAGCATCAAATTGTTCAAGAAAAGTTACATTTTTAGAGTAACGTGCAAAAAATGTTGCTTAGTCAAAGTGTAATGCAAAGGTGTAC